AAAGCCCATGTCCTTTCTCAGTGAAGTAGCCTCTTCTCAGCTCCATTGACTGGTGTGGAAGAGGGGGACCCAAGTTTTCAGGAGAATCCGCAATCTGTGGTTTAATGAGAATTATGCTCCTTATGTCACATTTGTTCATTCATTCAAGATTTATTGAGTGCCTACTATATGTGAATACAAGCCTGAAAACAAAACAGCTGTTCCCATGCCTTTGGGAAGCTTCCAGTCTAATGCGGGAGACAATTTAAAAAATGTGTTAAATATATAATATGGTAATATGTGCCATGTCCATTTTATGGGGAAAATAATGCAAGTAGATTGGGCAGCAGAGGGTTGGAGATATGTTACAAGTTTGAGTAAGGTGGTCAGGGAAGGCTTAAGTGAGAAGGTGACATGTTGTGAAAACCTATCACACAATTTGACCATTTATTTGAGATACTCAATGTCGAACACTGAATATCAATATCGAGCACTTAATATGTGTGACACATGATCTGAGGTCCTGGAGATGGACTGATGAGTGAGAGAAAGCCCTGCCTTCCATAGAGAGATGGATAACAAATGAGAAACTAAGTAAGATAATGTCAATTATTGTTCCTTGCAATGAAGGACATAAGTCACAATGATGTGTTAGAAAGAGGAAGGGAAGAAGTGGCTGTGCTGCACAGGGTAATTGGGGAAGGCCACGCTGTGTGACATACAGCCTGCAGTGCAAAGGTGTGGGGAAAAGCATCCAAGGGAGAAGAGTAGCAAGAGCAAAAGCTGTGAGATGGGAACAAGCTAGCATAAGGTATTGAATGTCTGGGGAGTTGAGCTAGTTCATGGAACACAGCAAAGCACAGCTGGTAGAGAAACCCATGGCCAAGGTCAGGTCCAGCAAAACTGTGGACATGTCTACAGTGACTCCCTCCCCTTTCTTTCTTTTAGAAACCATTTTCCTGACTATTTAATCCCTGAGCCCTTCCTTTTGCAAACTTGCTCTCAAGGAAAGGATGTGAGAACTCATGTATACTAAAAAATACTGAGGCTATAAAGGACTCAATCTTCCTAAGGGTATTATATTATTACAATAACCTTAATTGTACATTTTTTGGTGGTACTGGGGATTGAATTCGGGATCTTGTACTTGCCAGGCAGGTACTCTATCATTGAGGCACTCTAGCAGCACCTTTTTAAATTGGTTATTTTTGAGATAGGATCTTACTTTATGTCTGGGCCAGCATGGACCACAGTCCTCCTATTTGTGCTTTCTGAGTATCTGGGGATGATAGGAGCACACCACCACTCCCTGCTTTTTCTGTTGAGATGGAATCTTGTGAACTTTTTGTCCAGGTTGGTCTTGAACCACAATCTTCCCAATCTCCATCTCCCAAGTAGCTAAGACTACAGGGTTGAGCCATCGTGCCCAGCTAATTATAAAATCTGATGCAATGGTCTTTTGGGTACTGGCGTATTTTTTTGTTGGAGAGTGTATTAATTTTCTATTATTAGGGTAATAGAAGGGCTCAACCCTTCTGGAGGCTATAGGGAAAAATCCATTTCCTTGTTTGGCTCCTAGTAACTGCCCACATGCCTTGTCTTGTGGTCCCAAATTACTGATTTCCATTTTCATCATCACATCCCTTTCTCTAACTCTGAACCTCCTACTTCCCTCTGTAAGGATCCTGTTTAGATAATCCCAGGAAGATCATCCCATCCTGGGATCCTTCATTTAATCACATGTGCAATGAAGGGAGCACTTGCAGTTTCTAGGTATTAGACATGGACACTTTTGAGGGCCATTACTTTTCCTACCAAAGGGTATGTCATTCCAAGGTCTGTGAGTAGGTTCATCAGACAGCTCCCTAGTGTCAAGTTGCTTCCGCTTTTACTTCTGCTGAAATTTTGGGAATGAAATAGTTCTATAGTCTTACTGAAGGGTAGATTGCCCAAGCCAGCTGGGTAATTTGCCTTAATCTAATATGGTACAGGCAGATGAGAAGGCATCCAATTGCACTTGTGTTTTTTGAAGACATCGTTTACACACAAGTTTAAGTTGGATGGCAGTTTTTGTGATGAGGCTTCTAATACGTTACAGTTTCTGACCTCTCTGGAATTTGAGAGGTAAAGGTCTAGTGGAGCAGAACTAGTAGGGGCATGAGTCAGGAGCCTAAAAGGATGGATATTATTGTGTACCAAAAAGGTAAGATGATGTCATGAGTGCTGTCTGTGAGCACAGTGAACAGTTGTTTTTGGTGTTCTGATGTAGGGGAGCTGTTCTGTTCCTGAACTCCCCAGCAAAGGGGACATTGGGCCTTTTGGGTTAACCCATGAAATATCTGCACTGCTTTATTTCCAATCTCTCTAAGACTGGTCACCATGGGTGAAAAGGAAGCAGCTGAGTACTCTAATTTAGCATCTTGAATTTTCATAAACCAAACTATTTCCAGTACCTAGTCTGAAAGAATTGTTATTTGTGCTCTTCCTGTCCACATAGTTTGACCCATTATCATTTCCTCCTTCAGATTTCTGTTTTTTCAGTTACTTACTGAATTAGAATCTTCTATTCACCGTGGTCAATCTTTCAAAGATATGTGCTTATTGATTTAATAGGCATAAGTCTACCTTCATTATCTCCTGCTTATTTTTCCACGTTTTGATGCATTCAAGTTAGAGTTCATATTTGTTGATAAACAATAATAAGTTTAATAGACACAATCCTGCTTAACTGCTATCACTAGCTAAAGTAATGGTTTATGAGGATTTTCAAACTAAGTTGTCTTTAATTTTCATTATTACTTACATTGCATTAGATAAAAGTTTGACTTTGAGAAATATGGGCTCTTCCATACTTAGAATCATAAAAATTATTACAGCAGATATTTATGTTACTGACTTCAAATGAACATTATCTAAACTAGAACAGCAGGTGGACTAGTTCAGTGAGAGCCCGACTTGAGGAAGTCAAAGGTTGTCACTAGGGTAAAGCAACGTTGAGCTCTGTCACTACTGAGTGATCTTGTGAGCAAGTTGTGGAGCCCTGCCAGGCTTACTTTACTCTTCTGTTAAATAGGGCTAGTAGCACTGTTATTCTTTCTCAGCGTTATGAGAATGAAAAGTCAAGGGCTTATTGATAGTAGAGTAGGCAATCAACATTTGTTGAATAAATGTCTCATGACTGGAGTTCAGTTAACTTTAGCTATGCTGAAGAGTATCTGTAAACATAGGATTCAAAGCTACTGTAGTTGGAGGTGAGACCAATCCACCTATCCAAGAGCATTATGTAGTACATTTGCTTCAATTAATTAGATACAATGGAGCCCCTCTATGCTTCAGACTTGTCAGCTCTTAAGGTGTAGGCTAGGCAGTTTATTTTTTTTTTATTTTTTTTTTTCTGTTTATTTTTTTTTCATTTTTCTTTTATTATTCATATGTGCATACAAGGCTTGGTTTATTTCTCCCCCCTGCCCCCACCCCCTCCCTTACCACCCACTCCACCCCCTCCCGCTCCCCCCCTCAATACCCAGCAGAAACTATTTTGCCCTTATCTCTAATTTTGTTGTAGAGAGAGTATAAGCAATAATAGGAAGGAACAAGGGGTTTTGCTGGTTGAGATAAGGATAGCTATACAGGGCATTGACTCACATTGATTTCCTGTGCGTGGGTGTTACCTTCTAGGTTAATTCTTTTTAATCTAACCTTTTCTCTAGTTCCTGGTCCCCTTTTCCTATTGGCCTCAGTTGCTTTAAGGTATCTGCTTTAGTTTCTCTGCATTAAGGGCAACAAATGCTAGCTAGTTTTTTAGGTGTCTTACCTATCCTCACCCCTACCTTGTGTGCTCTCACTTTTAGCATGTGCTCATTGTCCAATCCCCTTGTTGTGTTTGCCCTTGATCTAATGTCCACATATGAGGGAGAACATACGATTTTTGGTCTTTTGAGCCAGGCTAACCTCACTCAGAATGATGTTCTCCAATTCCATCCATTTACCAGCGAATGATAACATTTCATTCTTCTTCATGGCTGCATAAAATTCCATTGTGTATAGATACCACATTTTCTTAATCCATTTGTCTGTGCTGGGGCATCTTGGCTGTTTCCATAACTTGGCTATTGTGAATAGTAGGCAGTTTATTTTAAAAGTATGGATCTGTCAGTATATAATGAAAGATTATTAAAAACTCTTGTGTAAAACTAAAAAACAGTTGGAAAAATACTTGTCTCTAGTTGCTTCCAGTAACAATGGTCATAAGATTGCAAAGACAGTGTAACAACTTTTGGAATGAACTGTGCCCAAAGACCTTCTCAAGAGGGCTAAAATTGAGATAATGCTGAATTTCTGCCTTTAAAACGTTAATCGGGAGGCGTTTGGGTGGAGTTGAAGAAAGGACAAACTGAGAAGCCACATGCCAAAGGTTGGCAAGAGCCTCTAGATTTTCTTGGGCCGCCAGGCTTGTTAGCACCATCTATTTCAAATTTCTGCTCCCTGAATCCCTACATTTTAAGAATTCGGACCTTGTAAGGTGCTCAACATTCTCCTTCCACAAGACACAACAACTATTTGGAAGAGATGAAGGTTCACTAGAGTTTTGCTCTTGCTCAATTAGGGGGACCGCTCTAACTTTCTTACTGGGCCTGACCAGGTCCTCCTTGTCCCAGCTCGCGGTGGGCGGGTGGAGAACCCCAGTGGGTGCTTTTTGTTCTTCCAGTTATTGAAGCCAGCTGGCCCCCTTCTTAGGTCACACTTTCTCAGACAACTGACCCCAGTGCCTGTCTTGGGCCACCCAGATTCAGATAGTTGAGAAACCGGGTCATTCAACTATGGCAACTCATACCCAAGCAATTATTTCAATCCGGGGATTGAAAGCTGTAGATGAAACATCAGGACAGCGGGCGATTTCCCAACTGTCTCTGGGGCATCACCCCGTTGCCCCGCCCATCAGGGTGTAGGGGGCGGGACAGGCCAGTCGATAGCTCCGCCCCCCGGCCGCGCTCCAGTTAGCGGAAGTGACGCCAGCCCAGGAGCCATTTCCGGAGGGCGGAAACTAGGAAGAAACTTGGAGCTGCTGAGGCGCTCCAGTTAGCGACAGCCTTAGCAGCTGCTGTGCCCTGTGGCCCGGCCCGTGCTGAACTGTCCGGAGGCCTGGCCATGGGGCAGCCCCGGCCTTCCTCAGTGTGAGGCGCGGGGCCTCCCGCTGGCTCCCCTAACAGGTCCGGGGCAGACAGGGCGGGAGGCGTCGTTTCTGCCGCGGTCGCGGTCACCGCCTCCGGCCCCGGCATCATGAATATAGACGTGGAGTTCCACATCCGACACAACTATCCCTGGAGCAAGTTGCCCGCCAATGTGAGACAGGTACGGCTGGAACCCGGGACCGGGCCCCAGATTGCTTCGGCCCCGCCCCACCGTCACCTGTTTGTCTTGCTGGTCCGCGGGGCCCGGGCTGGCGTGTCTCGGCCGACTCCTCCCCTTTCCCTGGTCACGGATTCGGGAAAACCCCCCCCGTAGTCCAGGGGCAAGGAGGGGACACTCCCACGTCACAGGCACCCACAGAGGGCTGTAGTTAAATGAGATTGAGTCGCCTGGCGCCTTTGCTCGCAGCTTCCACTAGCTCTGGCTCCTGGATACCGAGATTTAAAATACGGTCCTTGACCTCCAGAACTTCATGGTGGGGGTGGGAAAGGGACGAGGTACAGGGTGACAGCAGCTCAAACGTGCCCCATTGTAGTATGTGTATGGAAGTAAGGAATGGTTTAGGGAGGATGCGAGGATGTGTAGAGAAGGCATTTAAACTGGGCCTTGGAGGGCCAAAGAGATTGAGTAAGATAAGGAGAAATACTTTGCCTGATTGCTCAAGTCTCGAGAGTATCGAGCAAATGAATGTCACCTAAGTTTGGAGTCTTCTGTGTTTTGAGGGGGGATTGGGTGAGTGCGTGAGGTGGTAGCTGGTGAGGCTGGAAAACTAGTTGGGGCCTGATTTTGAAGGGGATTATGTGCTTGGCTTTGTTGGACTTTGTCCTTCCGACAAGATGAGTTTATTAGGGATGGGTCAACAAGAAAGAATAAATGGAAGTTTTTGAAAGCTAATGCTCAAATTTTTGAGGGGCAGTTTTATTCAGTTGTTTAACAGTAGGTGCCATGTCTTGTTCCAGATGCAGGTGATTTGCAGTAAGTCAAAAAGACAGAGTGGAGCTTACAGTAAACAAACGAATAGAAAACATGGCAGGTCATGACTTGTGCTACATGGAACACACTCTTTCAGTTCCTCCCATTTTTCTTGGTTGAGAGTGAAATCTATTGGTGCTGGGCAGTGGTGTTTTTGGAAAGCTTGGAATGGTGGCGATCCTATAAGGAGTGTGTAGTTTATTTTGAGGCCCCCATCCCCCATCTAGGAAATGAAAAAGGGTTTGATGGTGCATTACATGACAAAGAAAAAGCTTTTACTTTAAGACACCCAAACCCAAGAAAGTGAAAAGATACATTTCAAGGACTTAGGGTTCTTGGGTGTCAGTGGCTGACCATGTGACATTTATCTGAAACTGGAAAAAGGAAGGAGTTTCTCATGTGAGGTTTGAATGAGGGCTTTGGTGGAAAGTTTTGTTCTTTAGAGTTCAGTTGTACGTCTGTAGACAACTGGAAGTACCAACAATCCTTCTTTTATTTCCATTTTTTATCTACTCTTCATCAAAATAAAAGTAGCATGGTGAAACAAAATAAATAATTAGATTATGCCCAATGTGAAGGACCGATTTCAATTTGTATTGATAAAAGTCTTTCTAAAATTTAGGATTATTAAAAATCATCACAGGAAAGCGTTAAAATTAGGTCCAAATAGAAAGTTAAACTGGTGTGTGTGTGTGTGTTCCCTTAAAGTATCAATTGTTTTAGTTTAGGATAAGCGTGGCCGCTTATGATTGCAGCATAACCCATCCGTGCAAATTTACTTCCATCAATTGTCTCCAGCCTTACCACTGTTTCCTGGGGTCACGCTCCATCGTAGATCACTACATCAGCATTCTGTCTCGTCTTGCCCTCAGAGTAGGACTTTTCCCTCCATTTTTTTCACACTACACGGAGGTGAAACTTCTAAAATGCAAACCCTTTCCCATCATCATCTGTCTCCTTTACATTATAGCTTTTCTTTGGCTTTCACTCAGATGTTTCCTCCTCCTGGGAGGAGATCCTGACCCAAATCTGGAGTCATTGCCCCTTGGATATGTTGCCTGTGCACTGTATTTCTCCCCCATCACGGTACTCATCCACTGTGGAGGATGTTCTGGTTACCTTACTATTTATGCTTTTGTACCCTGAGTGCCTCATGTAGTTGGCTTTTAGTAAATATTTGTCAAGTGGAATATGCCATCAGTTTGAGATTTTTCCTGGGCAGCTAAGGGTCAGTTTAAAAGTGGGAAATAGTCTTTGTATGGGAAGAATTTGCCTTTTGGCAAATTCTGTAGATCCTAAGTAAATTTTGATGGGCTTAATTTGGAAATGACTGATTTTCCAGTTCTGAAAGCTGGGAGAAGGAGATTCAGATTTTCAAAAAATGTATTTCAAGCCAGTTCTTTTTAGATAAATGAGATGAAATTTTTTTTTTTATTTTGGTCATGCTAGACTTTAAAAAATACATTTAAAAGTTGAAGGTATGGCCATTCAGGATTTTAAAAAATAGTTAACTAGTATCTTGTATTAATTATTCAAACAAATTATAGCCCTTTATTTAAAGAGAAATGTTGTGATGAGGTTCTGAGTAATTAAAAATGTGTTGTTTTTAGGAGAATACAGCACACATTAGGATGTGCACATTGGGATTGGGATTTGGGTTTGATAGGAGCAGTGGTAAAGTCTTTGTACTTTTAAGATAATCTGCACAATGGATGTTCTGTAGCTAATACCATATTCCCATGTCACCCTTTCATCTGTTATAATTCCTTTTATATGCAGCCTGACTTTGTCAGACCTTGTCAGAATTTCTGCAGGGCCAGCCAGCATTGTGTCAGAATAAATGATTTTTCTCTTTTCTTTCTTTCTTTTTTTTTTTTTTTTAACTACATTTGTAGTGGCAACAGTGTTTTAAAATGTAAATGGAAGACTTGGAACTGGAGATTGACTCTACCATTTGAACCCCTGTCTCTAGTCCTTTTGCTTTTCAGATAGGCTCTTGTGCTTTTGCCTGGGCTGGCCTTGGACCTTGATCCTCCTATCTTTGCCTCTGGAGTAGCTGGGACCATATGTGTGCACCAACCCTGCTTGTTTTCAGATAGGGTTTCACTAACTTGTGTCCAGGCTGGCCTTGAACTGCAGTCCTCCTATTTCTGTCTGCCTCCAGAGTAGCAGGAATTTCAGATGTGAAATGCACAAGGACATTTTATTTTGCGTATTTGTCTAGGGAAGAATACAATTAATGTTTACTGTGGCTTTTAGGTATTTGTGTGCATCCTATGTATTGATTGATCAGGACCAGTCAATATTGAATACCTAGTGCTGAAGCTCACATGTTTAATTTTATATCCTCTAGTTGAGGGTTATGGATATCGGGCCCTTGTGTTTTGTGTGAGTGGCTTGGTTTATACTTTTTATTTTGGACTGCCTAGGAACAGAGTTGGAAAGAGAGTAGTTTTCTTCTCTAAAGTAAGGATAAATTTAAAGACTTATTTTGGAACAGAACAGCAAAACCTCAAAGTTGGAACTTGCTAAGGTTTTAGCAAAATTGTGTGTGTGAGTATGCATATATTTTGTGTTTCCTGAGAAACACAGTACAGCTGTGGTTTCTGTCAAACCTTGAAAAGTTTGACAGAAAGCTTGTCATTGTGAATCCCCTAGGTATCTTCAGTTCTGACCCAGATGCTACGTGGGGGATGGTGGAGTAGCTTCTCTACCATGAACTCTACTACTAACTCTGATGTTAAAACAGGTGAAAATAACATAAACACATCCATTCTGGCAGTAGTGTGAGTTCTCTAGCCTGCGATAAACTAACATAAATACAGAAAGAAAAACACTTTTCTTATATCATGTCTCATTGTATCCAGTTATGGGCCACTTTATTATCAAGGTGTTAGTTTCATCTGTCTTGCTGTGAAGATTGCCTAAGTGAAAGATATTTTTGTGGACATTTAATTTGGTTTTCAAAAACCTGTAAGAAATACCGTGAACAATCTTTTCTGTCATCAAAGATGTTGATTCCTTATAGTGTGCTGGAAAGACTATACCTAGTAATTAGAAAGGGGAAGAGATTAAATTAACTTTATGGTTACACATGACTCTAATGTTGACTTATTCTTTGGTTTCATGAATACTACAACTTTGAATTAAAACACTAAGTGCACAGCTAGAAAGTATATTGCTTATTAAAAAATGCACTTGGTCCTCTGTGTCTGGGGGATATGCCTCTGTGGATTCAACCATCTGTTGATTGAAAATACTACAAAAAATTGGGTCTGTACTGAATACATAATTTGTCCTTACCCTTATTCTTTAGATAATAAATATAGCATAACAATTATTTACATGATATTTACCTTGTATTAGGTATTATAAGTAATCTAGAGATGACTTAAAGTATGTAGGAGGATGTGTGTAGGTTATATGGGAAATACTAAGCCATTTTATGTAGGGACTTGAGTATGTCTGGGTTTTGGTCTCCTTGGGGTTGTGGAATTCATGCCCTCTGGATACCAAAGGAATGGCTGTATGTTACAATTCCAAAATTGTCTAAATGTTTTCTAATGAAGCCACAAGGAAATGGCATTTTAAAGATGCAATCTTACATACATTTTAAAATGTACATTCCGTAGAAATCTTAATCACTAACAATCATAGCCCTTGGTTACAAATGACTGAGTCATTCTTAAATTTAAATAAATATAGGTGCAAGAAACCATGTATCCATCTATTTAACAAACTCAAGTTGGGAATATTTTGGAAGAAAATCTCCGTAAAGAGAACTTTTTTAAGTTATGCGCTCATATTGCTTGTTTATTTGATATTAAATACCTTGTGTTACGGGATGGGAATGCAACTCAATGGTACAACTCTTGCCTCATATATGCAAGCCCTGTGTTCAATCCCGAGTGCTGAAAAAAATGCCAAGAAACAGACAAACAAAAAACCTCCCAAATTTAGAAAGTCAGTTTAGAGAGGCACACTGCAAAGAAGCACATTGAATATGCTCTAATACCATGGCAGGAAAGTTAATGTAATAAAAACTAAGAAGAGATTTTTTTTTTTCAGTTCTGGAAATTAAGAGATGCTAAGCACGATTGGGGTGATAGTTTTGAAATTTTATGGGGAAAATGTACTGTTGTTCATTTGAAAGCTGTTTAATACCCATTTGAAATTTCTTTTAGAGCCTTGGAAATTCACAGAGGGAGTATGAAAAGCAGGTTGTCCTATACAGCATTCGCAATCAGTTACGCTACAGGAGTAACCTAGGTAAGCGGAGGTGTTTTCACACTGGTGTGGAAATTACTTGTTCATTTGTCATCTTTAGAAGTCTCTCTTAATCTTTTCAATATGTATTTCATGGCACTGAAATTATTCCCTTGTTACCTAGCAATAATTTAGCAAGTGGATTTTTTTCTTCTTGTAATTCTGACTTTTTTTTTTTGTATGGTACTGGGTTTTGAACTCAGGGGCCTTGTGCTTGCTAGGCAGTTACTCGACCACTTGAGCCACACTCTCTAGACCTTTTTGCTTTAGTTAATTAAAAATTTTTTTTGGTGGTACTGGGATTTGAACTCAGGGCCTCATGCTTACTCCAGTTAATTTTTGGATAGGGTCTCAGGTTTATGCCCAGGTCTTCTGGGCTGTGATCCTCCTATTTATGTTTCCCACATGACTGGGATGACGGCACCTTCATGCCCAGTTTTTATTGGTTGAGATGGGGTCTTGTGAACTTTTTGCCCAGGCCAGCTGTGAACCATGATCCTCCCAATCTCTGCCCACTCCTGAGTGGTTAGGTTATAGTGTGAGCCACCTCACCTGGCTAGAAGTTATTTTTTTTTTTAGAGTACCTTTGATAGATTCATTTTCCCTGTAGAATATTAATCTTAATTTGGTGTCCTCTGTTTGCCTGAGGGTGATAAATATGCCAGAAAAGGAAAGGTACATTAGTTCTTAATCATTTTCAACTTTAAGTTTTGTCACCATAAAATTTTTAAATAATACAACTTTAATGCAAAAGTGTAATAGCTGGAACAAATCTTAAACATGGCTGGTTTCATGATTTTTTTTTTTTACCTCATTTTAAGAAATATTTGGTTTTTGTCAGATTATTACTTTGGTTATTTTGTTCTGTTGCCCTGCTACATTACTCATATTTTAAACTTAATATTTTGGAGATGGTTTTTCACATAATTATTTTTCACAGAAGTCAAGGGGTTTTTTATGTTTAAAATAAACAAAACAGCAAATGATTTTTAAAAATATACCTGACTTCATCGAAAACTATAACATGTAGTTTCGCTGTCTTGTAAAGCTGTATCTTAAGAGTTTGAGATTTACAGCCCATATTTTGTACCTTTGAGGTCTTGCTGGTGTTTCCATGCTTGTTTTCTAATTTGGTCAGAATCACTTCTCTACTTAGCTGTCCTATTACACATTTTACTTACATATTGTAAAGTCTCTTTCTTGTGATTTAATTGTTGCTTTGTTCCAACTGGTAATATTTTACTTGTTCTCATTAACTTATATACTGCATGTAAGCATACTTATATATTTTAAAAATTGATACTGGTTTGTAAAGTATTTTATTAAATTTATACTGAGTATGTAGCTATAAGAAACCTGAAAGAAACTGGGAAGTTTCTCTTTCTTGTAGTTAAACATGTCAAGAAAGATGAACGCAAATACTATGAGGAACTACTGAAGTATAGTCGAGATCATCTCATGCTGTACCCTTACCATTTATCGGATATTATGGTGAAGGGCTTGAGGATCACACCATTTTCATACTATACTGGGATCATGGAGGTGAGTTTGTAGTGTGTGTGAACTGTTAAGGTTGGGGAGGGACTTTACAAGTCAAGAACACTTTACAGTTGATCACTGGCTCTTAGCTATAGTGTTCTTAAATTGTAGTATACAAGGGATGGCTGTTACAAGTTAACTATTTGGGCCACCTTGTCTTTATTGATATTTTTACATTGAAAAGGTATCTGTTTCTATTCTGTGTTTTTGAAGGTGTTCTTGACACTCTCTGCTATTATGGCATTGATCAATCATTTATATTAGCAGTCTGTACAAAGTTTACTACTTTTAATATGTAATTAATGTTGAAATGTGTGTTACAGAATTGAACATGTAGCTCAGAGAAACTTAGTCTATTTATTCATTAACAGTGTAAACAATAAATGTTGAAAATAGACCCAACATTATATAATACACATGTCAAAAAAGAGAAATGTGTTAGGAGTTCTGGCTGTTAATCTCTTTCTATAATTATTAACTTTGAGGTTTTAGCTTTGTTCCAAAGGCAGTTTGTGCATGGCTGGTGTTGAATAACTTTAACACTGGTTATATACTGCTTTAAAGGGAGCTTATGTAAAGATTGGCAGTATTTATTCAGTGTTCATTTGTTATTTAATTATGTTTGAGTGCTGCTGTTTTGAGCTCACTAGACAGTTGAGCAGAGAGAAGCCTAGAACCAAGGGATCTGGGAACATGCAGTAGTGGGAAGGTTACCCCCTTTGTGATGTGGCTGGGTCCCCTTCTCTGTGGGCACTCTGCAGTCCCATGTCTGGTGTCCCTTACTGTGGGGCTTAATAGCCTGAGTAGCCTGATGAGGTAGCAGGTAGCATAATGAGGGTGGCAGCTAAGTGGTAAGTTGTGGCTGTCTCTGATTCTTTTTCTGGTGTTGTCCACAGGTTTAGAAAATAAAACAGTTTTTTTTTGTTCATTTATGAAGTTTCATTTCAATTATATCAATGTGCTTGCTGCTCTTTGGTTTCTGTTCTTACATCATTGGGTGTAGATCTTGGTTGAGAAAATGGGTCTTACTCTTGGTTTATTTGGAGAAACAAACACATTAAGGTGGGAAAAAGCTGGATGTAAAAGTCTCAATCAGTAAAGACTACTAAGTGATTAACATTTTGTTGGGAGAGCATGTTTTGAATACGTGTTGATGGAACTTTGACACATTGTTTGGCTTCGCAGGTTAGGAACCTAGGGTCAGGTATGAAGTGTGGAGAGGCTAGAACACTGAGCTCTAATAGAGGCATTGCTTGAATAGTATTCACAAGGCAAAGGTTTCAGGGCAATTGTCTGGGATGTATATAGTATACTGGGAGAAACCCAGACCTGAAAGTCTGCCCTTTAATTGCTAGATGTGGCATGCATGCTTTAGGGTGCAAAACTGTGATCTTACTGCTTCCTATAATTACTGTTATTCTTTTGACCATTCCAAATTCCTAAGGAAATGTTTGCATTTCAAATTTTGAATCTTTTTTCTTTTTGAAAGGATATTATGAACAGTGAGAAAAGTTACGACTCATTGCCCAATTTTACTGCTGCTGACTGTAAGTATTTAATTGTGCTAAGGGAAGTAATGTTCAGGTTGCTTGTTCATGCTTACATGTTGTCTGTCAGTATTATGATGTGTTTTTAACCTGAAATAAATGAAAAATGAGAAGAGTGAGCACCATTATTAGTGGGAATTATCTCATTATACAAATAAAGTGTTAAATATGGTCTAAACATCTAAAAGAAGAATATGTTGGAGTGGTAGAATCAGAAAAATAGGACTAACCTAGAGAATGAAATTCTATCTGGAGTTTGAGCTATGTGTGAGGGAAGAAAACTTGTGCACAGAACTTTTACAGCATGATGTACTTTGTGCAAACATAATTTATTGCTGTCTTATGTTTATTTTAATGAAATATATATTTAAAATGTGACATAGTTCTGTGTGCAAGAAGATTCTCCTGGGAAATACACTTTTACTTCTTAAAATTAGGAGGACTTCTTCTTTTAAAATGTGTTCTTACTAGCATTCAAAAGTGTCAACTTGAATTTGTCTCTCCCAGAGTTGTCTTGAAGAATTCTTTTTAATTTATACTCATGGGCCATGTGAATGCAGGCTGAGGGCTTTTCCTAAAATCACTTGAGCATCCTTACATTTCAAGATGTTTTAAATGCTTTTAAAGGAAAGGGCTTTCTTTCAGGTCTGAGGCTTCTTGGCATAGGAAGAAACCAGTACATTGATCTTATGAATCAGTGTAGATCATCAAAAGTAAGTCATTTTATTGTCCTCTTTGTTAGACAGTTTGATTAGTATTTTTTTCTTTATTCATTTTTCATGTTTTTCTTTTAAAGTAGAAGAAATAATGAACTTAACTTCTTGAACCAAATAAAATGTGCTCAACCCAGAAACAAATAAAATCCTCAGTATTCTCTGGGTTCCAGCTTAAGTGAATAGTGAATCAAAAACTATATACAGCACACAACATGTACTTTTAAAATTAATTTTGCTCTGCTTTTTACTTGTCCATTTTAGCCCCAGAGTCCACTAATTGATGAAACTAGTACACACTTTGATTTTTACCTCTTGGGTTTCATTTGCACTTCTGGATTTAGGTCTAGATTTAAAGATTAATGTTTTGAAATAATTTATTATGAAACAATTCAAGAATTACTCTACAAATTATGCACATTGTGGAATAGTTAAGATTTTAAACATGAGAATTTGAAAACATAGTTACTTAGTCTGTTTATGTGATGAAAAGAAGAAAGTGGTAATTTTAGGTAGACTGCACATTCTCAGATGTTTGTATCATTGCAGAAATTTTTCAGAAGGAAAACTGCTCGTGATCTTCTGCCAATAAAGCCGGTGGAAATTGCCATAGAAGCATGGTGGGTGGTGCAGGCTGGATATATCACAGAAGACGATATCAAGGTAGAGAGACCTTCCAAAGCTAAACGTAGAGTTTTATTTTGTAGCTTGTTTTACAACTTTTAATTATAGCTACATATTTTTTTAAATGTAACATTTGTCTTTCCTGCAGAAAATTAAGCAGATTCAAAATCTAAATGATCTTAATAGGGTAGAATATTAATCAAGTCTCCAAGATCCTCTTTAATGGTGAGGAAGACTTGACTTAGTTCAGGTATCATAATCTGGGGTGCTAATTGGGTAGAAGTTTCATGTAATATAACATATGATGTCTGAGTTACCAGTAATAACAATATAACACTTTTGTGTTATATTCAGTACTTACTGTGTGCTAGGTGAGGCATGCACTATTAGAAGTGCTTTTTTGTATTGTCTTATTTAATTCTTAGTCATAACCCCAGGGGAAAGTAAACACAAAGCAGTTAATGGCTTCAGTCATAATAGTGGAAAAATGCCAGGATTTTTTGGAAATTTGCTATGGAACCTGTATGTCAGTTACTTTGTTACTGCACTGAAATGATAGGTGCCCTGATGGAGTGACAGTGTCAAGATCGAGGAGCATGATATTCCTAAGGTCAGGCCACATTTGATGTAGGCTTTCTACATTTAGAGGAGATCTTGATTTAGAGGAAAGGGCAGGGTGCTGAGCAGGCCTAGAGACCAGGTCCTGTCTATGTGTAGTTGAAGGAATGTGAGTCTGTGACCTTTTGTCTGGGTCTGCATATTTGTCATCAAAGGGCATATTAAAGCCAGTGAGTGGAATGCTTAGAAATTTTCTTTCAGTGTAAGTACCTCCTAATGGAGCTGTCAAACTCTGTCATAAGGCAGCATTGCACTTTCTTTTCCCCAATAATAGTCACATGGGGTGTTTGAGAGTCAGTTTCTTATTTGAGAGATTCATAAGTTAGTAAATGTATCTGATTCCATTCAGAGAAAAAGAGTAAATACTGGTTGTTAATGAGCATTTATTGCTAACTAGCAAATATTGGCATTTAGATTGACTGTTTTCTGAACTCCGCAGGTAGCATATTTTGGCACCTTAAGTGAAGGCTAGGTGCATAGTTGTTTGAATTCCAGAGTAATAAATGCAAGAAGTGTCATTTATTCAACTAAGGACACGTAATCATTGGTTTCGACAAAAATGGATTTTAGGAGACTTATGAATTAGTTAATTTGGACAGAATTTAATTGAAAATATTTTGCTTTTCTTAGATATGCACTTTGCCTGAGAAACGCGCTATTGATAAGATCATCGATTCAGGCCCTCAACTCTCTGGATCACTAGATTACAATGTAGTACATAGTAAGTGGTTAGTAGCAATGGTCTTTTGTCAACATAAAAACTTACTTTAGCTATCAATAATTAATAGCAATTACTTATCACTTAGGCACAAGTACTGTATTTCCTAAGGTTTATAACTGTTTGAAATGTGACTAGCCATTGTTTTCCATTATGGCTATAATTAGTCACATACACTAGAAATTTGAACAAATGAATGGTAAGAAAAATTTGTATTTCTGAACAGTTGTAAGAAATCAAGTTTTAAAAACTCTAAGTCTTTTTCGCTTGTATTTTACTTTTTTTTCTCCTTTCACGTAGTTTTCAGTTGTAAGAATCTTTATAAAAGCCAGGAATTGGCTTTTTTTTTTTTTTTTTAAATTACTATTGTGTAATGTTTTAGCTAAAACAATGCATTTGCTTCTGCAGGTTTGTATAATAAAGGATTTATTTATCTGGATGTACCAATATCAGATGACAGTTGTATAGCAGGTAAGTCTGCGCTAACAGTTTTCAGTGTTTGTTGAATGGCTGCTTGGTGCTGAAGCACTGCATATCCTCTTAATAAATTAGATACAGACCATTCTAGAATCATAGATGCTATGTTTTTTCTATAAAGAAAAATCATCTTTTTTACCTTATAACCCATTATGGTTATTAAATTCCTTATTTTATTTTTATGTTGTTTTGGTATGCATGCTATATTAAAAGAATAGAACGTTAAGATAAACTTCTCATAATCCTAAATCAAATCACAAATTTCTAAATTCAAGTCACCTTTTAGTCCTTGTTCGTTGCAAAGCATTTCTCACATATATTCATTAATATCACAGAATTGTGTGTTCTTCATTTTTTCTTAAGATACCCTATTTTTTCATGTCACTGCAGTCTTCTTCATCTGTATTTCTTCCTTCCTATTTCACCCACCTCCTCAGGTTACACCGATATTAAAATAGAGGCTGTGTGTTTCTTTGTGTACCGAATTGATGTATCAGTATCACACAGATCCGTGGATCTGTGATTACTCAATTCGCGTAGCTGTCGTCATGCTCCTTCTCCTGCTGCTCCCTGAATTGGAATAATCCATGAGGGAGAGTGGGTTGACAGTAAGGAAACTATCAAATTCATGACAAAAGACACCTGAAGTGATTTCAAAGGAGACACTTGAGATATAGTTCAGCAAAAAAGTAAGCAAAATGAATACATACGGAGGGGAGAAATACTTGGAAGAATATTTATTTTTTTGAGATACTGAGGATTGAACTTAGGGCCTTGTGCTTGCTTGGCAAGTATTCTGTCACATCAGCCATACCCCTAGTCCTTGAAGGGAATAATCTGTTAAATAAAATATATTCTGTCATTAATTATATTTTCTAATTGCACATTTTGTGCCTACCTTTTTGTTGCAGTTAGGTTTCTGTAATGCGTGAATGAAATACTTGTATGATATATAACTCATCTGAAATGTTCTTGAAAACTTTTGTCATATATGCAGTATGTTTGGAACTTATTTTAATGTTTGATATGAAATAAAGATCCCAGTTGATTTTCTTTTATTTGAGTAAACCTAGCATTTGGACAAATGTTAGCTGTTTTTTTTAATAACTTATTACTGCTGAATGGAACAATTTCTAGTTATATGCTGACTTCCCTCTACATTGGATCTAATTCTGATACCCTTTTTTCTTCCACTGGTACCATATTGTTTTGATTATGGTGATTTAACTTCTAATATTAGTCATGGCCAGGATTACCTTGTGAGTTTTCTTAAAATAACTTTATTGACTATTCCTATTATTTTTTTTTAATATTTACTTATTTTAATATATTTTTTGAGTAGGAGAAAATCATGATGCAAAATGCTAAATTTACAAAAAAGGCATTGAAAAGTCTGTTTCCCACACCTGTGCCTAGCCACACAATTTCTCTCTCAGCAGCCACTATTATGTCTCTTGTGTATCTTTCTAGAAGTCTACCTATGCACATACACATGTATGTATATATCTTTTTTGTGTTTGTTTTATTTTTGTATAGATGATGTAGTTCATACTTTTTATTTTAACTTAATCCATATCAGAGGTTATTTCATATTTCTTCATGTAGAGTTGCCTCATTCTTTCTTGTCTAGATATAAATTGTGATTTAGGAAAAATTTCTAACCTCTTAGTGCCTTGGTTTATCTCTAAAGAATGGGTAATTGATACTGCTGGTGCAACTCATAGGGCTAAAAGGATTGAATGAAATTGTTTACGTAATGTACTTGGCAATAGCTTAGCACTTAGATGTGTTCAGCAAATGTTTGAACATAGTCCGTGTTAGGATAAGAATTAAGAATATCAAATACAGAATTTCTAAAATACAAAAAGAAACCTTTGATCTTTAAAAGTCCTCATAGGCAGCAGGGGTATGACTGGGCCAAAACAGAGAAGCAAAAGACTATGAGAACACCAGGTAGATGAAAAGTTTTGTTTCTTTGCCTTTCTCCCTGTCACCCCCTTTATACTGAGAAGAGTATAAGAAGAGTATATAGCACTAAGTTAGAAGATGATAGGAGCCAGATATGTAAAGTAAATAACCTATCCTGAAATGTACGTTTTGGTTTTTCAGTGTCTTAGTTTTATCCATCTGAGTTTTGTCTCCTTTTTCAGTGTTAGGAGTAATTTAGGTTTGGGCAGAGCTCTCTAGTAAGTCAGACTTGAGCATTTTGATTAGATATCAATGAAGAGATGAGTATGAATGAACGTTCAGATGGAGAGTGATGGTTGGGTGCCTGGTATGCTGAAGAATATCTTGACCCTCTGGCTCCTGAGGAAGAGCAGATTATACTGGTGATCACTGGTAAACGTGGCAGTCATGCAGATGAATTTGTTCTCTTCTCAGGATAGAGTGGGGGTGGTGGAATATAGCAGAGAGACGAACCTTTCCATCCACTTGCATTTGAATAGCATAGTAATTCTTTCTTGCAGCCCTTTGCTTTTCTACTTCAACTCAGTCCTCTGTGCTGGCAGTGAGGCATCAACAACACACACATCGGAAACTCTTTGCAGGCTTCCCTGTTCTGAAACAGCCCCTATTCCTTTCCCTTTCAATTGCTGCTTCAGTAATACTCAAGAGTTTCATGTGAATTTAAATTATTCTTTGCAAATATTTTGATCTCCCTTCAGAGAAAACTATGTAGATACTACTATATATGGCCTTCATTTGGGGGAATTTTAGAAAGTGTGATGCAGTGGATGAAATAAAACTGTATTCAGATTGTAAGTGAGAAGTTTCTCTTTGGATAGATACTTTTACTTCCTTGTTTTATAAAATCATACTGAGAAAAATCTGTTGTTTATTTTAGTTCCTCCTCTTGAAGGTTTTGTAATGAATCGAGTACAAGGTGATTATTTTGAAACTCTACTCTATAAGATATTTGTGTCAATAGATGAGCACACTAATGTTGCAGAGGTAAGTATGGCAACATCTTATGAAAGAAACATAACCTAAGATTTTAATTTTGTGTTAACTAGGCAAAATTATTTAATTATATGGCTAAAATATTTTCAAAATTGTACTTGAGAAGATTATAGACCATTAATCTACTTACTTGTCACTGTTAATTCCTGCAGGTGTAGCTAAAGAAATTTTAAGTTGGTAGTTTACAGTTTGGTTAGATAACTTTTCATATGCTTCTTTATAGTAAAGGATTATAGATTAGATTAATCTATTTAGGGATTTTCTTATTTTAAATGAGACAGAATTAAAGAGTAAGAATAATAAATTATTGGTCACAACTTGGATTTGTGCTAGCCTAACCACCTTAGAGATAATGGAAATAAGAAAATTCTGAATTTGAAATTTATTCAGTCTTTTCAGTATTCGTAATTAAAATTTTGTTGAGTATCATTACATTTGTCCATTTATAACTATGAAATTCGCTGAAAAACATTATTTTATTTTCCAGCTTGCGAATGTCCTTGAGATAGACTTATCCCTGGTTAAGGTATGTGAATCCTGAATGGATTTGCTAGGCAATTTTTAACTTGATACCTACTGAGAAACAGAGGCATAGAGATTCTTATCAGCTGCTCCAAGGAGTGTGCATAGTAAAGGAATGTTAGCAAAGAGAGAAGAGGGTATGATGAAGAGCCTGGAATCAGTTCTCCATTTGATGGTATGAAAATGAGCACTCACATTAATGTGGATAGCAAACAGCACATTGATTGGTGTCTTGGAGTGAGCTTGTTAAAGCTACAGCTCTTGGTTCATTGGAAGGAGATTTAGGGATGGCAAGGCCAGAGAGGTGGGGGCATTCCTCTCATTACATGTGAAAACTTAAGGGAAGAATAGGTCTGCCAAAAAGTGTTCTTTCTAGCTATGGTATGAAAATGTTTGTGGACCACTTGAGACTTAGTCTATTGCAATATTTTTTTTTCTTTCTCTACAGATATCCTGATGTCTATTTTAAATTAAATTCCTTTATATTCCTTTCAGAATGCTGTTTCAATGTATTGCCGACTGGGCTTTGCCCACAAGAAGGGCCAAGTAATAAATCTGGATCAACTTCATTCATCATGGAAGAACGTTCCATCTGTAAACAGATTAAAGTAACTCATTTATTTACTGTGACATATTAGTTTCCTTTTGAAGATATGTAGTTTTACATATAGAACTTTTACTTACAGCTGAGGTGAACCCTGTATATTAGTGATTTTAGATCTTGTGTGAGGTGAATTTTTTTTTGTAGAATCTGATGAAAACTAAGAAACCTTTATCTAGGAAAGAGAAAAAAACACATGATATTTTACAAAATTTCTAATTTTGAAGAATTCTTGAATTTCCTGAAGCCTGTCCGTGGGTCTTAGTTAACAACCATTTGCTGCATACGTGTATGTGGCCAGAGCACTTTTGAGCCACTTTTCAATTTCAGACTTGAATATCAGATTGGATTTTGCTGGATTGTTTATAATGTAAGCACTGACTTCAGTCGTTTCTTATGTAAGATTTTAAATATGATTTTAAAAAAGTGAATGTATTCTTCATTAATAGGAGTACTTTAGATCCACAAAAGATGCTGTTATCATGGGATGGCGGGGAAAGTAGAAGTCCTGTGCAAGAAGCTTCTTCAGCTACTGACACTGATACAAATAGCCAAGAAGATCCAGGTTAGCAGTACCTTAGTTTAATTTAAGAGTCTGTATATATGAATGGCATCTGTCCAAGCATATATGCCTATAGTTATTCTACAGTTTTGCTTTAGATTTCCTTCACCCAATATTCAGTCTTTGAGTACTTACCCATTTGTTGGGTGCTATGCTAAGTCTTAAGGGTATGAAACTGACAGAAATATGGTAACTTTCTTCTAGAAACTTAAGTTAAGGGACCAAATAGAGTCTGTAACAAATAAAATAAAAACAAAGTTAAAAAACCCTACAACATCAAGAGCACCAGTTACGGTGCTTGAGGTACAAAGAGGAAAAGATGCTTCATTGGTTGGAGAGGTTGGAAGCTTTTAGGGAGAAGATATCATTTGGGCTGGGAAAGCTGACTGGAAGGCCATTTCAGCCCAAAAGAATAGTTTGGGCTGAGGCCAAGCCTGCATATATTTTAATGATGAGGGTAGAAGGAGCCTGTAACCAAACCAGATGACTTGTCTGAAGAGCTTAGGCCAATTAGTCTTGTTCATTTGACAGTTACAAAGAATTTTTATTGCTGATTTTCAAGGAATTTATTATTAAAGTAAATGTTCTTTATAATTTTAAAAAAAGTTTTTGCCACAAGGCTTGGTGGCATACGCCCATAATCCCAGTGCTTGGGAGGCAGAGGCAAGAGGATCTCTGAATTTGAGGCCAGATGGACTATATAGTGAGACCCTGTTTTTTTAAAAAAAAAAAAAAAAGTAAATTTTCTTTGTGCTTCAAGATAGGTATGACTGGGACCTCTTATGATTGTAATGTTGCTTAGAAATATTTTCTCATTCTAAATGATAAGTAAAGACTAATTTTAATTTACTTGATTTCAAATTGTGATTTTTAAATTTTTTTTTCAGCTGACACAGCCAGTGTTAGCAGTTTGAGTCTGTCTACAGGATATACAAAGCGTATTGCATTCCTGTTTGACTCAACTCTTACTGCATTTTTAATGATGGGAAATCTTTCACCAGTAAGTCAAATGCTTGTTTAAATACAAAGATGTTTCAAGATTATAGATATAAAATAACTTAGTACATACATACTTGTATTTCAAAATACTGGATTTATTCCTGAAAGCACAGCTGACTTATATTCCTTAGAGGAATGTAGTAACTTCCAGTGATGGTTGCTTTAGTAATTGGAAGAATCAGTTCCTCACTTCATCTACCTTCAAGTTGAAATATTTTGGAAAGCATAAAATATAAATTTGGTTTTATGTTTAACATGTAAAAGAAAAACGTGTTTCTCTTTTGCAGAACTTGAAAAGTCATGCGGTTACAATGTTTGAAGTAGGCAAACTGTCAGATGAGTCTCTGGACAGCTTTCTTATAGAACTGGAAAAGGTAAATTGAGATTGCATATGTGGGCAGGGCCTTAGAACTTTTCCTTTCCTGCTATGAAACATCAGTTATCTGATGTGTTGATTATCATGGATTTTTGGTATATTCCTGCTCATTCTTACTCATTCACTATTGTGCTACTATGGTGGTCATTTAGCCTTAAACGTATTGAGTGGATGAATGAAGTTTGATTTTTAGAGTGATATGTCTCACTGTTAACATAATTTGATACAATGAAAAATGGGGTACAGAAATCTTAGTCTGAGTGTAATTTTTTAAATAGAATTTTTTCCTAAAATAACCTTCCCCACTTTTTCTTTCCCTTGGAATGACTCTTAAGATCACTTTTTAAGGAGTTTTATCTGAAGTTTTAGTTCGAGTTATCTTAAATCTGTAACTGTGTCCCTGGGTATCGTGTTTACGTCTGTTCTTACTATCCCTTTTAGCATCTTAAAGACTTAACCCATATTTGCTCTTAACTACCTTTTTTCCTGTGAGTACGGCCCAAGTTTTCCTTAGTTCTAAATATTGATTGCCCTTTATTGGTGTTTTTTATTCCCTGGATATTTTATTCTTTCTTTTGCTCCTCTTTGTATGCAAATAGTTACTGTACCTGATCTGTTTCTTGACTAATAATTTTGGTACCTTTTTTGCTTTAATAGAGAACTCCATATATTAAATGTGCTTTTTTAGAAAATTTGTGATTCTGTAATTTTTATAAAAAGAACGTAAGTTTTTCATTGCTCCTTCACAGAATTTTTACTTTCATTAGTGCAGAAATATATGAGATAATCCTTATTATTAATGGGTATCATGCTTTCTATACTTCATCATTCCCTCATTGCTTTTTTTTAATCACTGTGTTAACCCCATTTCTTATTGTGTATCATCTTTTGTTGATTAAGTTCTGGTTATATCAGCTAGTCTTTTATCAATTGTAGCAAATTCCAAGATCATGTCTGCTGTCATTCATTCATATATCTGTATTCATTTTACCACTTAATCATTCTTGGGAAAGCCTGTTAGTCTTTAGTTCTAAATATGGTTTCTTCACTATTTTAAAAGTAGTCTGGTCTTAATTAAGCTTAGTTGGTTGATTTTGTTAATGTATTGTAAATCCAATTTAGTTATTTCCTTCTGTAGGCTTCTGTTTCCATTTTCTGTGTTGTTTCTGGGATGTATGTGTTTTTATATATTAAACAGGGAACTGACTCAGTTGAAAGAGATGGATTAAATATAAGACCAGTGAAATCAGGAATTTCATTTGTTGAGCCTATTACTCTATTTTATTTCCTAGAGGAGGTCATAGTACCTCTAGGCACTCAGTAAATCATGTTAAAGGAGTTTAAGCTCTGTCTTCAGCATTAGTAAAGAGCTTTTTTGAATCATGTATTCCAGTGTACCTTGTAACTGATTATACAAAATTGTGAACAAAATGATGAGAATTAAAGTTTTAATTGGTAACCATAGATTGGGGTACTTTTCTGGGTAAAACAGGGTATGGGTTTTAGAAGCACCCTATTTGGACATATAGCTTATATAATGGTATAATTTACCAATTTGTTGGTTACTATAATTATTAGCTTTACCTGTTATATCTTCATAGAATGTAGTGAAAATGGCAAACTCAATCAAGATTATGATTATTTATTGCTTGGGGAGATTTTTGACTTGGTGCAGTAATGTCTTCATATGCTATATTACATGATATAGAGTGAATGGCATTAGAGTGGTGTTTGCTGCAAAATCTCTTTTCTCTTGGTTTAGGTTCAGAGTACTGGTGAAGGAGAAGCACAGAGATATTTCGATCATGCACTTACTCTGAGAAATACAATACTGTTTCTGCGTCATAATAAAGATCTAGTTGCACAAGCTGCTCAGCCAGACCAACCCAATTACGGTATGGAAAATATACTTATTTTGGAAGACGTGGCCTTGTGAAACTTCTTTCTTAAATATTAGACAGATCATCCTCACTTAGTTATTACAATTTTTTGTAGATAGCATATTGAATTTGTAACTAGAGGCTTGCTTTGTGAATTCCCTTAATCAACTGTTTCTTACTTTATTTTTTTCTCCTCTCTTCTCCTGTGCCACTAACATTTGCTATATTTAAATCTGTTTAGTACCTGTAAAAAGGGTTGGAGTGTTTATTTAAGAAGCGGGATAGAATGTAGAAGAGGCATCAGGTCTGCGGGGCAAACAAATGCTGAAACTTAAAGTGTAGCGAGCATAAAATTTTAAAAAAGGTAAATTCCATCATATGAAAATGATAAATAGGAACTTCCTATTCCAATATTACTGCGATACTAAAGTATTTTAATTAAAAATAAAAGGGTATAGATTATCTCTTTTTTTAAAAGTTGAAGAAACAAACAGTAGCAATTTTAATGTGTTGATGAACTCTAATGTGGTCATTGTGTTAGTTGGGACTTAGTTTTGTGATAGATGGTTCCCAAATCCGATGGTATTAGAATCTGTACCTAGAGATTCTGATTCAGTAGCTCTTGGTGTGGAAAGGCATCCAGGAATGTGTGAAAAGATGATTCCAGTGTTCTGCTCAGCAAGAGAACTGATGGAAGAGCATTTGGCTCAAGTTCTTGAACATTCACAAAAGAGATGCATCTCAGAACATTGTGGTATTTAATTTCAGTCATTCATATACCTAAAAATTCTGTTATTTGGCCAAGAGACATCAGGATCTAAGTCACTCCCATTTCATTATCAATATCTAACTCCCTTTCAACTCAATTTAAAAAATTGAAAGAAATCACCTATCACATATTAATAGTTATTGAGTAGTGAGAACAAAGATGCTGGGTAGTTTAGCTGAGTGAGGCCAGACTCACTCAATATCCAGTGACTTTACTTCTGTAGCCTTAACAGAATTATAGATTGTTGCATGCTGGGCTCTTTTTGAGATCTTTTGTAAACAGTAAATATTTAAAACTAAGAACACTAAATTGCCAAATGCCAAGAGTCTGAAGCACTTATTGATAAGCATTTTTTGATGAATAGCCATTTCTTATAACTAAATATTAAGTTGTGTGATCAAGTAGCAAGGGCATAACCTTGAAGATATCTATGGATAAAATTTTATTTCTGGAACTCTTTAGTCATTTATAGAGATAATAGGTTAGAGTATTTAAAATAATCTGTTACAGCTATCTTGAAATACCTTGGTCTTTCCTATAAATAGGAAAGACTATTCTATGACAGATCATAGAATCTGAGAACATGACAAGTCAAGTATAACCCTTAGGATTAGTTAGGGAAGAGCTAGGAATAGAAGACTTAAATCCTTGTCTCTTGAATTTTTTTCCATTGCCCTGTCCTTTATTGTCTTGAGCACTAAACTTGTTATTGATTTACTCATAAATGTTTGTTGCTTAGGAATATGAACTAAACTTTGTTTTCACTCTGAATAGTCTGCATGCCATTATGTAAGTTAAATGGTAACCCTAAACCTATTCTGTATAAACGTAGTTAAGTATGATTCTAACTATGAAGGTGGGTTTATTGTTGACCATTGCTGGCACCAATTAGAGATTTAATTGCTTAGAGTAGTTGCTAGAGCTCCAAAGTTAAGCATCAATTAACTCCTCCCCCTGAGCCCAAACCTGCAGTTATTTATGAATTTCACTTTTTCAAGCAGCCACTCTTAGCTGGATGCTTTCTCTGAACCACAGAACACAGAAGGTGATTGAAATGATGGTGCCCCACTAATACCATCTTTTCATACATTCCACACACAGGATAGCATAGGCCATTAGTAATGCTTTAGCTTGCCCTGTTGAAAAATGTTGCTTTCTGTAGGAATCCTGCTTGAAATAATTGAATCTTTCTGTTTTTTAGAAAATAGTTCTGTAGTATTGGCGTTTTAAACATCTTGTTTGAGTAGGAAGAGTTTTCTTTTTATGTCACTAGTAATTTAGTTTGAGTACTATTCACCTCATCACATAATGCTTAGTACTGTAAAGCAAAAGTCTTGTGATACTGTCATTGAAAGTAGTTTCATAGTAATCTCTTAGTTTTAAATAGCAAGAGGCTACTACTGGAAAAATAAAAGCAATGTGTGGTCTTCATTGTTCTCATTTTGTAAGTGTGATTTTTGTTTTCAGATATTTTTGTCTTTAAAACATCTTTTCACTATGATCAATATATGTTAGACATAAACCACTGTTTGTAATTTAACAGCCTAGTATGTAGAAATGTTTAAAACTAAACTGGATTTATAGAAGAACAGTCATAGTTTTAATGTTATAAGAAAGTATTCTAACCATTGTGGACTGTTTAGATTTATATACCTTCCTCTTCTAGTATACATTAAATATTTTTGTATTTGACACGGACAATGCTGCATTTTGCCTGCAGGTTAAGAAATGTCCTGGCTTGGGCGGTGGTTCAAGTGGTAGTGTGCCGGCCTAGCAAGTGTGAGGCCCTGAGTTCAAACCCCACCCAGTGCCACAAAAAAAAAAAAAAAAAAAAAAAAAAAGAAAGAAAGCAATGTCCTTATCTTTTTGTGTTTTGGAAAATGGCTTACTTCAAGGATCATTCTTTCTTCACATAGCAAGTGCCCCTTCCCCTTGTTCTCCTGTAACAAGGCTGAAACAAACCCTCTAAATTCCATTTATTTGCCTTGTGAACAATTCTCTGAGCTGCCTGCCCCAACTGATTAGTCAGAACAAGATGTCTGTTCACTAAACTGTGGCTGGGCTTCTTTCTTTCCTCTAGGCTCTCAAACTTCAAAGCAACTCAGACCTTATAGCAAAACATCCTCTGACCTGCAGCCCAGCCCTGTATCACCCTTTCATCACACTTCTTTACACACACCTTGTTTCTGCCTTGTCTCTAACTCTTAAGACACTTACAGACCTTATGATCACTGTTTCGGTGGTCTCCCCTCCGCTATTGCAACAACTGCCTACCCTGAGTCATTTGAATAAAGTCTGTCCTTACTAAATCTGGATTTTTTTATGGGTAGTATTTACCCACTTATGGCTATTGTACAATTTTTCATTGTACTTAATCACATGTAAAGTTTTCTGGTCTTCATAGAATTTTTTCCCCCCTCTCCTTTTCCCAAGCCACTTGCTGCTGACTTACCATTTTACTTCGGGCTGTGTCCTCTGCTGCAGCCAGACGTGTCACTTGGTAGAGACTGCTTTTATTGAGGCTTCACTTGTCAGCCTCCACCTCAGGGTGTGGACCAGTGCTCTTCCTGCCATCTGTAGGACATTATCTCCTCCATAGAACCACAGACTCCTGATTCTTTAACATTTTAAATTTATAGAAACATTGCAGAAATAAGAATATAATTACTTTTAACTCAAAATTCAGGATTAAGTTGCATATCATGTCCTTCCCCCCCAAAATTATTCACCTTGTTTCTGCCTTGTCTTTAACTCTTAAGACACTTACAGACCTTATGATCACTGTTTCAATAGGGCTGTTATCTCATATCAACTTCAGAAGATTTAATATTAACATAGTAATTATTTGTATTCCAGTTTGTCAGTAATGTTAATGTCCTTCTTAGCATTTTTTTCTCCTCCAGTACAGGACCTAGTTTAAGACCAAATATTGTATTTAATCATAATGTCTCTTTCATCCCCGTTATTCTATAACAAATCAATAGCTCATTTTTTTCTTTTATGACATTCCCATTTTTAAAAAACGTCCCTCCTTTGTTGATTTTTCTGGAAAGTTTCTTATCTTAGGAATACATGATGTTTCCTTAGGATTAGATTGAGATTTATTTTCCTATCTAGAATACTATCCAAGTGATGCTGTGACCTTCTAAGGATATGGTATCTGAAGGCACGTGATGCCCATCTGCCTCTCGTTGGTGATGTTAATTTTCATCACTGAGTTAGCCTAGTTAGATGTGCCATCTGATTTCTTCATAGTATAGATAGCTATTTTTGCCCCCACAACTAATAAGCAATTTGTGGGATGTACTTTAACACCTTGGCAAGTATTCTACTTCTCCTCAGTGTTTCTCCCTAGACTTACCATCCAGTGATGGCTCTTTCTGAATTGTGATCGAGATTACTAAGTGCAAATGGGAAATTTTTCCACCAACTCCAGCATTTCCTCTGTGTTTTGAACAACTGAGACTAGGTATTGTCTTGTATTCTTAGTATGAAATTCTTTTTTCAGTGATCTATAATTAGTCATTATTGTCTCAAATATTTTTGTACTCCTATTGCCTCATATTTTGCTTTCAAACTGGTTCCTCTCCTTTCTTTGTAATATGCCCATCTTTTTTTTTTTTTTTTAAACAATTCATACTTTCTGACAAAACAATAAGATCTGATCTTACCCTGTGCTTATTTAGCCATTTTCCCTGGCAACCTGTTTGTTTTCCTGGGGAATGGTCTGAGACCAGGTACTAGTGCTGGTTGTGCTCTGTGTTTGTCAGCCCTTTCACCAAGCTGTGAATTTTTAAGGTGCATTCTTACTTGAAAAGGGAGATAGTCTGGCCAACTGATCGTCTGAAGTTTCTTTCAATCTTGAATATCTCTTTTTAAAGAGCAGTAATTTTGATATTTTCCTAGGGGCTTAAAATGCTTGCTGAGTTCATGCTTTATGGATCAGCAGTCTAGGGGACAGATTTCTAAATGAGAAATGCCTTCCCGTGTGGGAGAATCAGAGCTGGGCTGTGATTCTCTTTATGGAGATTGAGAGAAGGGAGAGGAGATCACAGCTTCTTCCCTGGCATTTCAGCTGTCGTAATGTCTGTAGAGTGGCTGCAGACATTTTATTAAAGAACTATAGCCTAATGAAGCACCAATAGAATATAGCTTAAATCCTTAAGTGTCTGAGTAATCGGCTAGGAAATTTTGTACTTAGTTATTCTACCTTTAAATTTTTAAAAAGAAAATCTCAAGGCAGTGGTAAACAGTTGATTTTCAACATATATGTTTCACATGGTAGTCCATTAATTATTCACTGTGTGTCTTTAATCATAATTCAGGTTTTCCTCTGGATCTCTTACGTTGCGAGAGCCTTCTTGGTTTAGACCCTGCAACTTGCAGCAGAGTTCTGAACAAAAATTATTCGCTGCTTGTTTCCATGGCTCCTCTCACCAATGAAATCCGGCCTGTCAGCAGCTGTACCCCGCAGGTAAAGATCCAGATGGTAGTATGATCATCTCATTAAGAAAATAATGAGATTTTATTTTCCTAATTTTAGTTTGCAGATGTCAGATATTAAAAGCAATTTTTGCCAGAAGCAATTTTGTGTTTTATACTGTTGTAAAATGATGTTATATTTAATTTGTAAAGTATAATTGGTATATTTAATTTATATGTCATCTGATTACTTGCGACACATTAGATTAAAATTTTATTCGTGTATAAAGTATTTTAAGGTGAGTATTTTGGGATGCTTTAAGAAGGAAGCCTAGATCATTTTGAAGGATAAGATAAATTTAATTGGGAAAAATCAAGTGTTTTAGAAGTAGGGCTGTGATGCTAAATTAGCTTAAAAGAAAAGATAGTGTTGAAAGCTAGACTTCTAAATAACTATAGAATTTATGTGTGAAAATGGCTTCTGGTCTTTTACTTTTTAGACACAAATCAGTTACATTTATTTGTATACTTAGCATGGAAGGTATGGCCTGTTCATTTTCAAAGAGTAGAGATTATTGTTTTGCTGTTCTCCAGTGCTCTACTGTACCTGGTTTTCTAGATGTGCAGGCCTCAATGGTGTAGAAATCAAGAAGGGATTCTTGTATATTGTTTTTTTGCCTGTGTTGTTCCAGCTGCCTCAGTGAGCACCCATCCTTACCCCAAATTTTGGCCTGTATTCAACAAGAAGATCCTGGCTCTTCGTTTAATCAAACTTTTGTATAATTATGTGTTCCTCTCCACTATCGCTTATTCTTTAACACAACCTGTAGGTATGAACTGTCTGAAAAATCCATTTATCATCTCCATTTAGGAGAACAAGTCCCTTTTTTGAAGCTCAGATTCAAACCTAGGCAGTCAACTCACCAAGTCCAATCACAGACCTACAGTGATAAGATATGCCTTCTTAATCACAATAAGCCCAAACTTAACTTTCATGAAGATACTGCCATTTAAAATTTATGAGGCATTTGCTGCTTAGAAGACTGTACTTGGTCATTTTGAAATTTGGCTTCTTTACATAGGCAGTACAACTTTATCTTACCTGTTTTTTTGATTATAGCATATTGGGCCAGCTATTCCAGAAGTCAGTTCTGTCTGGTTTAAACTGTATATTTACCATATAACTGGACAAGGACCACCATCTCTCCTATTGTCCAAAGGAACAAGACTTCGAAAGCTGCCAGATATATTCCAGGTATGTGCATGAGGATTTTCTTTTCTTCTTCTTTTTCTTTCTTTTTGTTTGCAGTGCTGAGGATGGGACCCAGGACCTTGCACAACATGCTAGGCAAGTGTTCTACTTCTGAGCCATGCTCCTAAGCCACGGTTTTTAATTTTTTTTAGTTACTCATTTATTTGGTGGTACTGAGGCTTGAACTCAGGGCTTCATGAGTGCCTGCTTAGCAGGCACTTTACCACTTGAGCCACTCTGCTAGACCTTTTTGTGTTGGGTATTTTTGAGATAGGGTCTCATAAACCATTTGCCTGGGCTGGCTTTGAACTGTGATCCTTCTCATCACTGCCTCCTGAGTAGCTAGGATTATGGGCATGAACTGCCAGTGCCCAGCTGTATTTTAAGATTGTATTTATATTTGAGAATAGAAATTGGTGACAATACTATAGATAACTTTCTTAATTTTTTTCTTACTTCTAAGCACCATTTTATGTGACTTACTTCTTTCCAATAGGGTTATGATCGATTACTAATAACATCTTGGGGTCATGATCCTGGGGTAGTTCCTACATCAAATGTGCTCACGATGTTGAATGATGCTTTAACACATTCTGCGGTTTTAATTCAGGTATGTTTACCTCACTTGAAACAACTAGTTTTGGATTTTTATCATTAACATTATAATTTGTCTAGCTTTCTATTGAGTTGCAATCAGATGCCAGTTATTTGTAAAGTTGAAATATAAGGAATCAGAGATCTGAGGGTTAGTCCTGGTCCTTTTGCATATGGGGTTGCTAGAACATGGACTTGAACTTGGACTCAGGTTTGAGTTGCAGCCTCACCTTTTGCTGGTTGTGTGACTGTACTTATTTATTTATTTTTTTAAAAGAGCTTTATTGAGACACAATTCGCTTACTATCCAACTCAACAATTTAAATAGTACAATTCAGTGGTTTTTAGTACATTTACAGATTTGTATAGCTGTCAATAATACTGTTTTAGAACATTTTTACCATCTCAAAAATACACCCTCTACCATTAAGTTATCACTTCTGTTTTCTTCTCCCATCTCCTCTTTCCCCCCTCCCTAAACAATAATACTGATTCTATAGATTTTTTATTCTGTACATTTCATATACGTGGAGTCATACATGGTTTCTTTTGTTACTGACTTCTTTCATTTAGTGTAATGAAGGTACATCCTGTTGTAACACATATCAGTACTTCATTACTTTTTCAGGCCAAATAATACTCCATTGTACAGATACCCCACATTTTATTACGTTCATCAGTTGATGGATGTTTGTGTTGTTCCTACCTTTTGACTATTATACACATTTGTGTATGAGTTTTTGTGTGGATATAGATTTTCGTTTGTCTTTGAGTATATAGCTGGGAGTAGAATTGTGTCATGTGGTAAATCCATGTTTAATCATTTAAATAAAGAATTGCCAGTCTGTTTTCCAAAGTACCTGCACCGTGTTGCATTCCTATCAATACTTGGTATTATCTGGCATTTTGATTATACCACCCTAGTGAGTGTGAAGTGGTAGCTCCTTATCATGTGTTGTTGTTATGGTTTTAAAATTTTTTTTGGTGGGGCAGTACTGGGGTTTTGAACTCAGGGCCTTGTGTTTGTGAGTCAAGTGCTCTAATGCTTGAGCCACTCCTCCAGCCTGTAAAGTTTTGACTTGAGTTTTCCTGGTGACTACTAATGTTGAGCCTCTATTTGCTTATTGGACTGTATATTTTGATGATATTCCTTATGCCTTGTTTCTCATCTGTATAATAACAAAACAATAGCTAATGAGGAGGTAGGAAATATATATTTATAGAGTTGTTGAGGGAATGAAATGAGGATGCCCATGTGAAGTGCAGAGGGTACTTTCTGGTACATTAAAATACGTTCTTGGTAATGAATTTATTAGTTCATTAAATATCAATTGAATGTTCTGTGCTACTTAACATAGATACACAAATAAGACATGGTCTCTATCTTTAAGGAATTTAAAGCTGGTGGGAAAAGTTGTATGATCAGTCAGTTTTAGTTTTTGCTGTGTGTGTAAAATTAGTTATAGTGGAAACATTAAAGAGTGGTAACCAATTCAACCTTGGGGCAAGGAGAATGGCTTCAGGGGAGCTGGCTGAATATAAAAGGATGATTTAAGAGTTCTAGGATGTGTAGAGGGGCAGCATGACTAAATTTCTGGCAGGGATTTTGCTTCCTTTTCTTCACTGCTATTTCCCTAGCACAGGGGTTGGCTCATAGTAGTTGTTCAATTAGTGTTTGTTGAATAAATGGATAGGAATATGAAGTGGTGCAGTATATGCATGGACCTATAAGCTGTTTGGTATTTTTGAGAGGAGAGTTGAAGTGAATTGGCATAGTGATCAGAAGTGACTCTGGAGTGTAGAATACCTTGAATGTCCTGTATGGAGCTTATACTTTAACCTGTGGATTGGTGGCAGTACTTTCAGGGTGTAAGCTAGGGATTAACATAGTCAAGTGGAGTTTTTTAGGAATCAACCTGGGGACTGTGAGAATGGACAGGTCACGGGGAAGATACTGAAGCAAGAGAACCAGTTAGAGTTGTGTGTAGTAGTTTAGGTAAGAGATCGGACAACTCAATCAAGGGAAGACGTAATAAGAAGTTAAAGGAGAAGATAGATTATAAAATATCTTATTTGTAAAATCTTCTAAGTCATATTTTATACCTTATATCTTTATGATGTTGCTGAAAAGAATGACAGATGGAAAATTGATGTAAGGTGCTTGGCAAACAGGCAGAACTCAGTTGTTAGCTGTGGTGGTAATGGAGTGAGGGAGTGCTAGTGATTGAGTCCTGCTTGTCTCTGTCTTGGATCAACTACTCCTTTTTGCCTCAGTTTTCTTTACCTGTAAAATGAACGGTGTGATTGCCAGGGTCTGTTCTGTAGGCAGTATTTAGTGAGTCAAGCCAAGTTAGGTTTTTGGTTTTGTTTTTTTATATTTTTTTGGTACTGCAGAATATGGATAGAAAAACATAAGTAAATAAGTAGATGACATCTGTTTTTAAAGTGCTAAGGAGTTTTGCTTTTGCTAAAAAAGAAATTTTCCCTTTTACATTTCATAATGTAGTATAAAATATAAAATGCATGTTGCTAAGATTTAAAACATACTACACTTAAGATTTTGACTAAAACTGTGTTAAGTCATAAATCTGTCAGTAGAGTAGATGAGAACTTAGAAATATATTCAAACTGTTCTCGTGTAATTTCACGCTGTTATTTCTCTTAATGTATCAGTATTTCTTGAATTTGAGTAGTGTATGGGTCTTTTAAAGGGAAAAATTTATAGTTCCTCATAGTTTGCTTTAGTTTTCCATTATGTGGTACTAAATACATGTAAACATACAATTAATACTTTATGCTTATTGTGCTTACACACCTGTAAACTCAAACCAAACCTAGGAATTAAAGATAAGAAATAGTTGAATGTGTGCATGAAACTAAATTATTTATGACATGGGAGTGACATTGGTTGACTGAGATTTTTTTACACTTAATTTTTGAATTAATGGCACAGTCACATCAGTTAAAAATAAAAGGTGTATAGAGAAGTCACTTTCCTTTGAATCCTATCTCCCCATCCTCATCTCTTTTCCAAATGAGATAATCACATTTATTAGTTTCTGCTGTACCCTTCTGTATGCAAATGTAAGCAGTTACACACCGATGTTCCCCATGCTTTTTCCATGTATCAGTTGGAGATCTTTTCATTTTAGTTCATAGAGAGCTTCCTCTTTCTTTTTGAAGCTAAACCAGAAATATGTATCAGAAATTTTTAAGCACTTCTCTGTTAGTGGGCATTTTGGCTGTTTTCTGTTGTGTAATCACACTGACGTAGCAAGTGTCTTTGAGTGGATGCCATTTCAGTGCAGGTTGTGGGTTTTGTATTCCTAGTTCATGGTGTGCTGTGCTCTTTTCTCTCAGAACTATAGCCAGCCCTTGTACACATGCACTTGACTTCATTCAGTCTTGTCTTCCTGATTTGCCTGTAAATCTGTAAGCCCTCCATTTTTTTCCTATGCTCAATTTGAGAAACATTGCACAGTAGGTTAATACACACTTAAAATTGTCATGGCTTGCTGGAGGTATCCCAGTACTTGGCTTCAAACTGTACTGGAAAACCATAGCAATGAAAACAGCATGATACTGGCACAAAAACAGACAGGAAGAGCAGAGATAAATCCTTCAGGTACAGCCATTTAGTTTTTAACAAAGAATCCCAAAATGTAAGTTGGAGGGAAGACAACCTTTTCAGAAAGTGGTGCTGGGAAAACTTGATATCCACATGTAGAAGACCAAAACTGTATCCCTATCTTTCTGCTTGTACTAATATCAATTCAGCGTGGATCAAAGATTTCATTGTAAGATTTTAAACTTTGAAACTACTACAAGACAGAATAGGGAAAACACTGGACATATAGGCATAGGCAATTACTTCCTGAATAGAACTCCAGTAGCTCAGCAAATAAGAGAAAGGATTGACAAATGCTGCTGCATCAAACCAAAAAGCTTCTGTATAGCAAAGGAAATAGTTACTAGAATGAAAAGATAGCCTACAGGATGGGAGAAAAATCTTTGCCAGCTATGTGTCTACCAAATGATTAATAATCAGAATTTACAGGGAACTCAAAAAAACCATTAAGCTCCCAAAGAATTAGCAGCCCAATAAATAAATGGGCAAATGAACTGAACAGACATTTTTTTAAAGGAAGAAGTACAAATGACCAATAAATACATGAAGAAATGCTCAGTATCCCTGGCCACAAAGGAAATGTAAATCAAAATGACACTGAGATTTCACCTCATTCCAGTCATCATCAAGAGCACAAACAATAACAAATGTTGGCAAGGATGCCAGGAGAAAAGGAACCCTTATACACTGTCAGTGGGAATGTTAAATTAGTACAGTCACTGTGGAAAGCAGTATGGTGGTTTCTCAAAAAACTACAATAGGCTGGGGATGGAGCTCAGTGGTCAAGTGTTTGCCTAGCATACATGAAGCCCTGGATTTGATCCCCACTACTGCTAAAAACAACCTAAAAATACAACTACCATCCAATCCAACAATACCATTGGGCATAGATCTGAAGGACTGTAAGTCAGGGTACAACAGAGACACTTGCACACCCATGTTGTTTATTGCAGCACTATTCACAGCAACCAAGCTATGGACACAGCCCAGATGTCCTACAACTGATGAATGGATTAAGAAAATGTATACATACACATTGGAGTGCTATGCATTCATAAAGAAGAATGAAATTAGGTCTTTTGAAGGTAAATGGATGGAACTGGAGATAGCATGTTAAGCGAAGTAAGCCAGGTTCAGAGAAACCAAGGTCGCATGTTTTCTCATTTATCCCAAAGATAAATGTATACACAGGTTCAAACATGATCATACACATAACATGTCTGTAATAGTGGGACTGTTTGAAAGGACTTGGGAGAGGAAGGAATGGAAAAGAGAATGATAGTGAATAATATCAAAATATATTTCCCCTGTGTAGAAAGATAGCATAATGAAACAGTGAAAGCTTTTGATTAATAGGGGCTAGGGTGGGAAGAGTAAGGGAGAGTAATAGAGGGGTTAATCTGGTTAAAGCACAATGTATTCATGGGTGAAATTCTATGGTGAAACCCCTTTGAATGTTGCATATATACTTAAAAAATTTAAGACAGGGATATAAACCAGGTCCTTTTGGGTGGGTATCAGTAGGAGGAGGGAGGGTAAATGGACAAGGTGAAGAAAGGTGAATATATATACTTGTATGAAAACAGAACAATGAAACCTGTTAAAATTATTTTAAGTAGGGGGTGGTAAGGAAGAATGGTGGAGGGGATAAATCTAGCCAAGATGCACTTGAACACATATGGAAATGTAACAGTGAAATTCCCTTGTACAGCTAATATATGCTAATAAAACTAACAAAAGATTGTTATTGCTTGCTGTAGAAAAATAGAAAATCATCAAACCCATTATGAGGAGTATTAATATGGCACAATCTTATTTGTTTGCATATCAGTTATTAGAAATGTAGGATTCTGGTGTACCTTTCAACTTTTATTTCTTTGTGTTTAGGGACATGGTTTGCATGGGATAGGAGAAACTGTCCATATACCGTTTCCATTTGATGAAACAGAACTACAAGGAGGTACTTTTGAATTTTATCTGTGTGAACAATTTGATGGAAAAAAACCCTTAGGAAACTTAACTTTTAGATTCTTGAGTATTAGCAAAAGGTAGTTTTTGTCATGAAGTACCATGGTGAAACCCCTTTGAACATTGAATATATACTTAAAAAATGAAAGATAGGGATATATAGCAGGAACTGATAGACCCATATCTTTTATGACCTTTGAAGAATACTGGCTTGTCTTGGAGATGGAGAGAATAAGCAGATGTTTGCCTAGATGGAAGGCTAACTTTTCTCTATAGCTTTTCCCTGTGTTATATATATTCTTTATTCTTTCTTTTTTTTTGTAGTGCTGGTGTTTGGATTTAGGGCCTCATGCTTGCTAGGCAGGTTCTTTACCACTTGAGCTACATCTACAGCCCTTATATACATTATTTTTCAGAGTGTTTTTCAAAGTATTCAAAGTTTTTGCCGGGCATGGTGGTACAAGGCTGTAATCCCAGCACTTGCAGGAGGATGAAGAGTTTGAGGCTAGTTGGGGCTTCAGAATGAGACCCTGTCTCAAAAAATAAAAGAAGGCAAAGTTTTCAGTGTTATTTTACAGATTATTTAATCTGTAAATGTCCACAGTATATACATACAGGCTGCTGCTAGAATTTTATTTTCATATTTAGGTTTTAATGCTTTTTAAAAAATTTTTCGGTAATTTAAAAACGGATCCTAATGAACATTTATATATTAATTTATAGTTCATAGAGCAACTGCACATATTTCTTGTTTCAGCATTTTGTTTTTGCTATTAGAAGTAATTTGAGTGGATGCAGGGGTTTCTGCTAAATCAAGAAAACCCAAGGGGAGAGGACCCTGCTTAATGTCATCTCTTCAGATTAGGTGTGGAATGCAAATTGCTCAGAGAATTTATATGAAAGCAAATTGATTTGTCTTTTTCTAGTATGAAGATATCTTTTCCCTGTTGAATATTAAGAAGCTTAAAGTTGTCAGTTGGTATCCATAGTTGATAAGGGCCAAGCATCCCTCCTTTCCCCAAAGGATACCAGAATCTGCAGATGCTTCTCTTTCATGTAAAGTGGTGTAGCATTTGCTTAGAACCTATATATGTCCTTGATATATTTTAAACTATCTCTAGATCACACAATACCTAATACAATGTAAGTGCTGTTCAGGTAGTCGTTATAGTGTACTATATAGGGAATAATGACGAGAAGACAAGGTCTGTACATGTTCAGTACAGGTAGAGTTTTTTTCCCACATATTTTGATGTATAGGTTGATTGGTTAATCCCTAAGATATGGAACCCACAGATATACAAGGCCAATTATACATTTAAAGTAAAAATACTATTTGGTTGAAAACTACACATTTATATGGTACTATTTCCTGCTCCATGCAGAGCTGCTATATTGAAATGATTTTTTAGATTCTTACATGGATTTCAGAGAAGAGTGAATAGTTCAAATAATTAAACTTGTATTAATTCTTAGAAGAGCTTACTGTTCTTCCAAAAACATTAGTCACCATTTTCCCCTCTTACCCAAAGTAGGGGAAAGGAAGACAAATTTTGTAAATATCTGTTTCCATTTCATGTGGCTAGACTGCAGAAGACTCACATTTGAAATTAAGATGCTTTCTTCTGCCTATTGTGAATAAATTTGTGCAAAAGCCTGGAAAGAAGATTTTTTCTTTCCCAAAATAGCCCCTATTCAGAAATGAGTACTTCTCTGCTAAATAACTTGACCATTTTATTGTCTAATACTTTATAAGTTCTAAGGACAAAATAATTATTTGCCTAAAAGATTCAAGATAATGACATAAAATCTCATAAATCTATAAAATCTTGACTGATAAGTGGGAGACTTACTAACTTGGGAGATTATTGTGTGAATTATAAAAAATAGGTACCTTCATATTTGGATCTATAGTATCTTTCTCTTTTATATGTGAAACCTCTAGTTAATATCTAAACTCAGTAGGCTTATGATTTCAGGTATATTGTTAGCATCAATTTCAATAAGAATTAACTAGTCAAATTTTTAAAAATATTATTTGTATTCAGTACACTTCCTGATAGAAACCCACCAACTAAGTATTTCTTGGTAGAATAGACCCACAAAGAACAGCTTACAAAACCTGCCACTGATTGACCCAGTTTGCTCACTTAGCAAGAAATTTGTTTTGCCACAGCAATGCCTTCTGAAGACTGTGAATACATTGTATGTGAACAGCTTTCTTTTGCATAAACATTAGAATCAATCTTGATAGACTAAATTAGGACTACTTTAAGAATTATCAAACTATGTAAGTTTTTTGTGTTACGAAAGTTGACTTGTGTGTTATCTCTTTGTTCTTAGAGTTCACTCGTGTCAGTATGGGTGTTCATAAAGCATTGCAAGTACTAAGGAACAAAGTGGACTTACAGCATTTCTGCGGATATGTCACCATGTTGAATGCTTCTAGTCAGCTTGCAAGTAGAAAACTCAGTGATGCTTCTGATGAAAGAGGTTAGCCAACAGAAGGGTTCTTTGAATTAATATAACTAGTTTTAAGCTTAACATACTCTTAATAAAAGCAGACAGGCTTTTGTGGGAATGTTGAATTATTTAATACTTTTTACTGAAGAATAAGAAAATATTCTGTAGTATATGCTTTGGACAAATACTGTTATTCAAATGGAGAACACGCCAAATACATAACTAAAGAAATGATGCCCTTGAGCTGGAATATAGAATGGCTATCGGGTTCTAGGCCTGTATTGTCACAGACTCAAAGAAAGCCTTAGGATGATGGTTTCAAAACTCGTCATCTTGTAAAAATGCTTCCAAAATGTACCTAGTGGTTAGTTTCCAAGTTCTGTTAGACTCTGGAAATGTCTCATATCCATTTCCTTCCCTCTCTGTTCTTTTTAAGTTCTCTATAACTACAAATCTAGTCTAGATCTTGATTCCTTAAATGTGTGTTGTTGCAAATATTTCCTGCTTAGCTTTCCTGGCCTCCTTTCTGTTTATAGTCTGTCCTGCATATTACCAAAACTTACCATGCTACATTTTTTTCTATTTAATTTAAAAATACATTTTCAAATCATCTTACTGATTATTTCTGCTCTTTCTTAATACTGGTTTGTATGTGGTTTTGGCTGCCATGGTATCAACTCTGGTCTGTTAACTGTGGGAGACCTTTCAAGTGTCTGTCACTGGTGGACTATATTTTATGAGCCTTTTAGTATGAAATCCTGAGGAAATGTGATTGATTACTAGCCATCTCATGGATTGGATTGTCTAATTTGTGTTAGATAGGTATTTCTGGGCCTTTTATCTTTGCCCAAAGGAATTGGATATCTTTTAATAACCGATGGCCAAATATTGTAGGAACATTTCATGAAGAGGGCTTAGTTATTTCAAAGTGTGTCCACCATAGCTTTCATTTTTTATGTCATTCATTCCACAAACATTTAGACAATAAATACCTGTTTCAGTGCTGGAGATACTTAAAATAGTAAGACCTGATTTTATTTCAAGGTATGAAACCCTCAAGGGAGACAAACAAGTGAATCAGCCTACAATGATGGTTAAAAGATTGTGATAAGGGACTGTTTGACGCACCAGTGCAGGACAAAGAAGGCATATCTCAGCCCAGCTGAGCCACTAGGGATGGCCTCTTCAAGTAGACTTTAAACTGAGCTTTGGAAAACGAGTTAACTGCTTTATCTAGTGATGGTTGATTTTTTTGGAAGGTGTCAGCCCTTCAGGCAGAGGGAGTTAGGAAGCTGTGTATCTCATCTTAGCCAAAAGAAAGGATTTGTTGGAGAGAAGTAGAAGACGAGAGTAGAGAAGTCAGTGTAGTCTAGAATGTCTTGGAGGATCTTATGTGCTGAAAGGGTTTTGAAGAGCACAGATGTAGTAAGACTGCATATGTCCATGGTGATGTCATGGCCTTATCAGTGATGTGTGTGAAAGTCTGAACTTGTGTTCCACTTTTTGGGTGTGGGATTCTTTAGGCCAGGGTTTCTTACCCTTGGCACTATTTGCGTTTTGAGCTGGATAATTCTTAGTTGTGGGGGATTGTACATGGTGGGTATTCAGCATCCTGGATATTGATAGCATCCCATTCTCATTCAAGACAACCAAAATTGTCTCCACACACTGCCAAACACCCTTGGGGGACAAAAGAACCCCTGCTTTAGGCAAAAGAGTACTCATTTTTTGCCACCATCATTACTATCACCTGAAACCCTCTTTGTGTTAGGCCTGATTTATTGAGAACTTTGGTTGACTACTAGAATCCTAATATTGCTTATGCTCTTTAATTATAAGGAGAACCTGACTTGGCTTCTGCCTCAGATGTAAATGGGAGTACAGAATCATTTGAAATGGTCATTGAGGAAGCCACTATAGATTTGGCAACAAAACAAAACTCTGGTAAGATGTTAACAATTCTTAGCAGTTTTGTTAGACTGATTTTTGAGGCTTAACTTTTTTGTTAAGCCATTGCCTGTTATTTGTCTGTTCTTATTATCCATAGTGAACTAATTAATAATGAATTCTTTAAGAAACATTCTATATACTTAGAATAATAATTCAAATACTATAAAATGATGACCTGAGAATGAATAATTTCATTATTCTTGTGTAAATATTTTTACTCAGTCATTTATTCATCTTGCAAATATCATGTAATATCCTTTTTAGGTAAATAACTATTTTGAACATTTGATGAATGTTCTCTCCAGACACAAGTAGATCCATCAAACAACGTGCTTTTCTCTTTCAAGGTTACCAGAGCCTTCCGTCATTACCATCAATACCCACCCCCTGCTCCCCCAACCCCCTACCCCCCTCCTTGCTCCCACTCCCTTGCTGGGCTCCCTGGTGAATATCACTGGGGCAGGAGGAACCTAGGAACCTCAGGTTAAGGAGGCTTTTGTCACTAATACAGTATATATGTATAAGTGTGACTAACAATAAGTTTTGTCTCCTTTTTTTAGGTGCCACAACAGAAGCAGATTGGGTTCCTCTTGAGCTGTGCTTTGGAATTCCTTTGTTCAGTTCTGAATTAAACCGGAAAGTTTGTCAGAAAATTGCTACACATGGCCTTTGCAGAAGAGAGAGGTGAGGGCTTTCATTCATTGTCATATTTTCATTTACTCAATTTTTAAACTGGCAGTAAAGTTGCTGTGTTTTTCTTTCTTTTATTCCACACATGCCCTGTATATGTTTGTTCATGAAATAAAAATTGCTAGTTTAGAGTTTTTCAAAAGTAAATTTCAGTAGATCAGAAGTTAGTCCATAAGCAAACATCTGGACACATGCTTTTGTAAATTATATTTGCATAGATACCCAGGTTCAGTGAGGTTGTGGTAAATGGGCATGCTCATGGAGTGTGAACCTAGTTTTGTTTTTAATATATAAATGTCTATGGAAAATTCTTACTGTGCACATCGCTTTCTCTTACACTATACACACTCAAGTTATATTACTAATAATTGTGCCTTGTGGTGGAAAAATGACTTTTTAAAGTTTTTCTCTATTTCCTATATTTTCTGAAATGAGCACGTATCGCTTTTCAGTGATAACACCTAAGTTTAATCTCAGACACCACCTCTGCAGTTCTGGAAAGGTTCTGAGACCAGCTGGGTGAGCAGGAGAGCATATCACTGAACCCAGTTGTCACTGCAGGTGGCTTGGAGAGGAGATATCCACAGAATCTCCCTGACTTTTATTTAGGGAAACAAACATGGATAACAAAATTCATTTAATTGGCTCAGTGAAACTTATATCAGAAAATTGGTAGGGCTTAAGTGATAATTCAGCAAGTATCCTCTGAAAGTAAAATAACATACGTGAATAAAAGCTGGAAGGAAAGATTGTCACTATGATTTTCACTGATTTACAAGTTTAAAAGATAATTCACATGGGTAGGTTGGTATGTGTCATAACTGTTGGAATATTTCTCAGATTGTCTTTTAAAATTATTTTGGAAATTTGAAGTTTGCCACAGTTTCTGCCCCTCAAAGTGCTTATTAAATCTTTATTTTAAATGTTTCTTTCATTGCTGTTTGTATTTATTAATTGTTTAAATGTTTTCTTTGGAAACAATAACTTTGATTTTGGTTGTACATTATATTTTATTGCAAAGTGGTTCTTTTATACACTATTCTTATTGTTAAAATAGGCAAAAGTTTTATTGATGAAAATCATTAAAAATTTTTTTTATATGATTAATTAGAATGCACATTCATACATGAATGCTTTTTTTTTTTTTTTCCTTTCAGTACTGGGACTTGAACTCAGGGGCTACACTGTAAGCCATTCCATCAGCCCTTTTTGGTGATGGGTTTTTGTCAGGCTAGGGTCTTGTGAACTGTTTGCCCCAGGCTGGCTTCAAACCATGATCCTCCTGATCTCTGCCTCCTCCTGAGTAGCTAGGATTATAGGCATGAGCCATCAGCGCCCAGCCATAAGTGCATTTAAATTGATAAACTTAAACTCTTGTCAATTAATTTAGTTTGTGTCATTAATTTTGTCTTAAACTTTTTCTCTTCTTTTTTTCAGCCTTCAAAGCCTCTTACATTCCAGTAGAAAACTCTCTCTTCAAGTCCTTAATTTTGTTCACTCATTCCAGGTAAAAAAACTCAAATGGTATTTATATAGAGCTTTCTAGTATGTGAATTCCTTCCATGTTTGTTTGAGTCTCTACAGCACTGAGACATGAAATAAGCACTAATTTTGTTTTATAAATGAACACTGTAAGATTGATATGTATATTTCATTGGCCAGGTCTGCACATACTAAAGCTTGAACTCCTCATTCTGTGCCAGTGCTTCATTCCAGCAGAACCGCATTAAGCATCTGCTGCAGCCACACACCATGCTGGGTGCTGGGGGCAGGTGTGGTAGCCTCTGCTAGTACCTCTTCCATACTGGGAAGGGCATCTGTTGTGCCAGTGAAGAAGGCCAGTGTGGACCGAGAAGGATATTGTAGACTTGATTTATAGATGAGCTCTGAGAGTGGAATACTTCTGTTTAGAATATCTGATCCAACGTTATGACATCAACATTTTGAAGTTTTATTTCACTCATTCATTCAGTAAATTCTTGGGTCCACCCTACACCAGACCCTTTGCCAAGTGCCAGGGAGACAGTGATGTATAAGATAATAATGGAGTATGTAGTGTAGACTTTAAAATATGTAAGTAACTGCAGATTTCAGTAAGTACTTAAAGGAGACATAGTGTGTCACGTTTTTAGTGGTTTTCTCCTGGTGGGTGATACTTTGAGGTAGGTCCAGTCTTCTGAGACCTAACTTTTCTTCTTATCCTGTAATCTCGTAGTCTGTTATTTCTAGTTATTTCAGAGCACTTACTATAATCTGACTTGTATTGTCATTTTTGCATATGTGAATACCTGTCATTATTTTGGATTTGTGAGGTAGATCTTTGGGTCCCTTTTGTGCTTTATATTCTGTGGCCATTTCTCAAGTAATCAAGATCTATATAGTTCATTGGTTATTGTAACTGATTTTGGTTTGGTTAAGTGGTTCTTGCTAAACTGAGTGTATCTCTTGGTCTTTTTAGGAAGGTGCTTCAACACTGGATGTTCACATGGAGCCCAGTTTTTCAAGTTTGCTTTCACAGTCATCCTATGCTGATGTGGGAGTTCCTCTTCCTGCAAAAAACTTAATATTTAAAGATGGCATCTTATCAGAATGGAGTGGACGGTCACCTTCCTCCCTTCTTATTGCTAATCTCCATTTGCAATAATTTGATTACATCATTTGTTGATCACACTTTCTGCCTTTTTCTTTCTTTACATTAGCTTTATAATGTTAGCCACTAAAAAGCACCCTGCTGCTGCGGTGCAATTGTTGCTTCACTGATACTAATACTGCGTGTCGGGAACATGCTCTTGTTTTCTGAAGTGTTGTCATTATTGCACATCTCATGTCAGCGAAGTGCTTTTTAGCAGCAAGCACTGTATTTTTTACCTTAAGACAATCTGCATTTCTTTTATATAAACTAAGGATATACTTTATAGGCTTTATGATGACTGTTGTGTTTATAAGCAGTCACTATGAAAATTGCAATGGTAATTTTATATGTTAGTTTATTGGACATAAATCTTGTTTAATTTTATATTTTGTTACCTACACTTTAGGGGATCAAGGGAAGAGATGGGACTCTTCCTCTGAAAAGGCTTCTTTGTACTTAAAGTAGTAAAGCTGTTAAACAGAAAACATCCAGTATTGAGAAATGGTAATGGGGCATTAAGAATTCTGGGGATATCTGTAAATTATGTATATCAATTGAACATCGTGGAAGATATGTAAATCAGCATAGTTATGTATAGCTTAGCCTTGATTTATAAGGTCTTAACTCTTGACTATTCATTGGCATCTCATGAGAAGCTTTGGAAGACATTCTATTTTTAAACAATGTTTATATGTGGACTTTTGTCGCCACTCACCTTGGGCTTTATATTTTCATAGAGTCTTTATGAAAAAATAGAATTTATTTTCCACTCATAGCTGAGGCTGCTGCACGTCTGATTGATTTTTTTGTTTTGTGTGATTTTTTTGTTTTGTAGCTTTACCAATGAATGGTTATGGAAGTTGAAGGATTGTTATTTTAAATTAGAATTATATTAGAAGTATTAAGGCTGTATCTTCAGATCAGAATACTTCAGTGATAAACCTACTTTGAAGACATATTCTTAAGCAATTTGGATCCTAAATTTATATTATTAGTTTTGGAGGAAATAATAAGGAAAATGAATAATTTCAAAGTAGATCTTGAGTCATTCTTTTAATATCTCAGATGTCAATTAGAATAACTTGGAGTCACTTTCTAAACTTTTCAACTTACCTTCCTTGGGAAGTTTGTGCAGTGTTATAGTTTAGTTTAGCTCCTCCTCTAAGGTAATGGTTTGCTAGTTTAAAACTGTAACCACACTAATGGTAAAACAACATGTATCTAAAACACTTAAAGCATTAGAAAATTTGAGGATGTTCTAGCCTGACATTTCTGCTGGTGATTTTTGTTATTTATAGAACTGATATTTGTGTATTTAACATACTTCAGGAAGTACATGCCTTTCTTAAAACTGTTAACATAACCATGCATTTATTACCATGGCCTATCTATAGAATTTCATATTTTGGACCAGGTTATCTGTGGCACAGCTAGTGCTGTAT